AAAAAAAAAAAAAAAAAAAAAACTATTTCGATCAATCAAATTAAATTAATTTACTTGGCTTAACACTTAATTTGGCTGCTTAAAGTCATGCCATCCCCTCAAACCAAACAAGGTCTAAGTTTTTATTATTTTTTATTTTTTAAAATTTTAGACAATTTTTTTAAACTTAGACTAATTTCTTTTTTTTTAAGAACATAACTTATATAACTTGATACATTTAAAAAAATAATTTTTTTAAGTGTTGCACCAGAAGTTTGTTTATAAAACACAAATAGCTGAAACTCATCGATTATTAGCCATCAATTTCTAAATTCAATTACTTGATGTGAGGCCTCATTGGCCAATAGAGTTTGCCCTCCCTCATATGGGAAGTTAACTAAAGAATGACTCGATTTGACGTTGGGGCAAAAGTTATCAGGAGTTCTTTTATTCAAAACCATGTTGTTTAGACGACTCATGGGCATTATTCATTATTATTATTATTTTTTACAAAAATGTATTTGATGTTAGATCGCAAAATCTATAATCTAGACATTGAAATTATTAAAATATTTTTAATAAAATTTTTTATTATATTTATTTATTAATGATAATTTAATGATTTAGTGATTAAATTGTATATTTAGACTGAATAACAAGAAACTTTTTATTTAATTTTACAATCAAGTCTATTTTTTGTCAAAAGCCTGAAATATTAAATAGAATTTGTATCATAGAATTTGGAAATTGAAAAGATTTTATTAGACAACCAATACATTACGAAAACTAACAAGTGAATCCACACACCAGAAAGGAAAACACAAGACAATCCACATGGACACCATATATGTTACATACAACAAAGCACGATATTACCCTGATAGGTTCCTACGAGCTAAATATATCACTGCTACTAATTACGTACTAATCATCACAACCAGTGCATGTCTCTATGTTCTTCGGCATCTTCATTTTTCCATATATGTTGAAAATGAGAACGGGGATCATACACCTTATTATTAAACTTTAATTCTGACTTTAGTTTCGATCAGAGTGGCCAACACCAGGACTATGCCCTGGATTTGTATGTTTAAAATCATCTGTGTCAGTGTCACTGAAGCTGGGGCTTACCGATTTTTGTTCATTCTCCTCTTTGTCTTGTACGTGAGAATAATGTCCAGCTCCAGGGCTGTTTCCTGGAGTCGTGGGACGGAAATCATCAATGCTGGGGGATTGTTGCTCTTTGTCTGCAAGATAGTGTCCTACTCCGGGGCCGTCAGCTGGCAAACCTATAACAGGATGCTTAATCCCCACAATTTCATGACCATCTTTTTTGTCCTGTTCAAGAGGATGGCCGACTCCGGGACTGTCCCCTGGGTTTGTTGGGCGAAAATCTTCCTCTCCTTCAACTGCACCAGAATCACCAAAACCTTTGCCCAGAGATTTGGGAGTCAGGTCGACGCTCTGCTTCGACTCTGTTCTGTCCATTGATTTTAATTCTCTTCCCCCCATAAGCAGAACTTCATGGCAGAGAAGTAGTAAAAAAACAAATATACACTTACGGGCCTTAAATTCCATCCTTCGGAAGGAAATTCAATATAGCTAGTGTATATTGTATTATAGCAAAAAGGAAAGCCAAGTAGCTCAAAGAGGAAAATTCGAAGTAAAGAAAGAAGGTAAATATTAGTTCTCAGCACAATGAAGCAACTTCTTTGGACTCCTCCCTATTTATAATCTTCAGATTATGCACTGTGAAGATCCTAGTATCACACTAATTAATAACAATTCAAACCCAATTAACTAGTGGAGAGGAAAACACATCATGCCAATTTAGACTATATGTGTATGCTATTGAAAGGTTATTAAGTAGTGACAGGGAAAATTAAAGAAAATATTTTATATTCAATCCATATTGGCCCTATTAATGATCTGTGTGATCTATAATTTTCGATATATATCTGCCCTTAATTATCTGGCAGTGGATAGATATGGTACATTTATTACTCTGTTATGTGACACCTTTAATTAGTTTCTTACCATCTTCATCTTATAATAATAGATTTTTTTTTTTTAATTTAGAACTTGTCTCA